AGTGGCGGTTCCGGCGGCACTTGCGTGATTGGAGCAGCGGCGCCCAGCGAGGCCGGTGACATAGCGTTACATCACTAACATCTCCGATGTTCATGCCACTGGCAGCCCGAGGTCCAGCCCGAGGTGGGTGGTGGTGGTACTGCCGCCCCGACGTATAGCGGGTCTTAGAGGCTGCTCCCTTGGTGACTGACGGAGACGCACGGCCCGACGCGCGCACTCACCCCCCCTTCTCCCGTGCCCCCCCCCCCCCGCCCTCCTCTCCCAAACACGCGTGCGTCTCCCCTCAACTCCAGACACGCACGGCACACACGAACGCATTGTTCTACCTTTACACACACACACACACACACACACACACACACACACACACACACACACACACACACACACACACACACACACACACACACGCACGCACGCACGCACACGCACGCACACAGTGATCTTCCCTACTCTGTATAATCTTATACACCCCCCCCCCCCACCCCCGTCATTCATGACTCGGCGGCCCATGTAAAGACCTGTTGAAGTCGGACTCAGTCATAGTGCACTACGCTTAAATGGCACCCCCTGGCACTCCCCCCCCCCGTCCCACCAATTACCCCCCCCCCTCCACAACTAATCAAATCCCCCCCCCCAGCCTCCCTCCGCTCCCCCCTCCCCCCACGACTAACGGTCAACGGAAGACGCAAGAAAATGGCGGCAGAATGCGCGGCTGTCAACCATTCTACACCCACCGGGGGAACACCACCATGGCATCCACATGGATCTCTGTACCACGCCAACGAGTTATTTTACCGTATACTATTGTTATAAACACATTATACGGTGTATACTGTCACTTTTGGGGGACACCCTGAGTGCCAGACAGGTGTACGAGGCTACTTGTCACAGGTTGTAGAGCTCCTCTAGCTCCTCAGGTGGCGGGCAGGAATCATAGAGGCGGTGAACATTTCCCCTCTGGGTCGCCACACTCAGGACTACAAGCCACAATACACCTGGAAATATTTCATTCACTTGGGCCGTAGGAGTTTCAAACCCAGGGCTATAGAAGTGGAAGACTCTGGAGTTCCAGTAGCGAGGCTAGGGACCTGATTGGGTCACTGTATCCAACTGGAACTTGAGGCCTGCCCCTCGGGTGCCACTGTAGAGTGCCACTCTGGGGTGCCACTGTAGGGTGCCACTCTGGGGTGCCACTGTAGGCTGCCACACTGGGGTGCCACTGTAGGCTGCCACTCTGGGGTGCCACTGTAGGCTGCCACACTGGGGTGCCACTGTAGGCTGCCACACTGGGGTGCCACTGTAGGCTGCCACACTGGGGTGCCACTGTAGGCTGCCACACTGGGGTGCCACTGTAGGCTGCCACACTGCCACTGTAGGGTGCCACTGTAGGGCCACACTGGGGTGCCACTGTAGGGTGCCACTGTAGGCTGCCACACTGGGGTGCCACTGTAGGGCACCACTGTAGGGTGCCACTCTGGGGTGCCACTCTGGGGTGCCACTGTAGGGCGCCACTGTAGGGTGCCACTGTAGGGTGCCACTGTAGGGCGCCACTGTAGGGTGCCACTGTAGGGCGCCACTGTAGGGTGCCACTGTAGGGTGCCACTGTAGGGTGCCGCTCTGGGGTGCCACTCTGGGGTGCCACTGTAGGGTGCCACTGTAGGGCGCCACTGTAGGGTGCCACTGTAGGGCGCCACTGTAGGGTGCCACTGTAGGGTGCCACTGTAGGGTGCCACTGTAGGGTGCCACTGTAGGGTGCCACTGTAGGGTGCCACTGTAGGCTGGAAGTAGGAGGTCACCCACCTCCCAGACATATAAATTGCCAATCACAAAAATCATGAAAATAACATTTCATTCACTCGCACTTTCCTCCACATACTCTCGGGACTTCACTAATTTCTGTCTCATCATTTGCTGTGTGTAGGAAGCTTGAGGTGTAAGTGAAGGACCAATACTGGTGGACGGGTTAACATGTGGATTTTACATATGTGACAAAAAATATTTAGATTTTTGTCTTTGTCTTGTATGGCTTTCTCTTCCAATTTAATTTCCTCAACTGGCATGATTGGAAGATAAGAATGACGGTAAGTGCATAAGGCCTGATTATGATTGTTTTAGCGTCTGCTCTATTTGTTCCATCTCCCTGTTTAGGTGATCTTGAGGTTATCTGGAGATGATTTCGGGGATTTAGTGTCCCCCGCGGCCCGGTCCTCGACCAGGCCTCCACCCCCAGGAAGCAGCCCGTGACAGCTGACTAACACCTAGGTACCTATTTTACTGCTAGGTAACAGGAGGCATAGGGTGAAAGAAACTCTGCCCATTGTTTCTCGCCTCGTATCTCGGACTCTAGGCCTCGTATCTCTGACTCTAGGCCTCGTATCTCAAAGAGCTCTGGCTCTTTGGTCCCGCCTCTCAACTGTCAATCAACTGGTGTACAGATTCCTGAGCCTACTGGGCTCTATCATATCTACATTTGAAACTGTGTATGGAGTCAGCCTCCACCACATCACTGTGTATGGAGTCAGCCTCCACCACATCACTGTGTATGGAGTCAGCCTCCACCACATCACTGTGTATGGAGTCAGCCTCCACCACATCACTGTGTATGGAGTCAGCCTCCACCACATCACTGCCTAATACATTCCACGTGTGTGGTGTAGCACATGTGTGCTTCATGACTGGTGATCATATTCGTCGTGTCCTCTCCCCATCCGTACTCTGGTAATGTTTCTGTCTGGCTCTTAAAAACTTTCAGAATGATCATATTGGTACCCTTGTCTACACGTGAAAATCTTGGCACTGAAGATCACTGACGACCATCCCAACACCTGCACCCCCCTCCCCCCCCCCCCACCCTGTCACGGGGTGGAGGCAATCTTGACAGGTAACACAATGTTGCCAAATAGCGTGGGAATCCTTCAGCTTATTATCTAGCCAGTGTAGACGGCCTGACAGCCAGCCTCCTACACACCTCTCTCCGCACCGCTCCTGTGCCAGGTAAGTCCACTACGGGCTCACCATAGCCCGTGCTACTTGCAACTTGTTCCCAGTAGCTGAATCTATAACAACAACTGCTACACAGCCTGGCGGGTGTAACGTCGGCTTCACCGTCGGCTTCATAAAGGGAGAGCAGAGTGTCTGGAGGAGTGTCTCCCCGCCCAGGCCTGAGGCCAGCCATAACACACACTAATTCATGTACCCAGATTTACCTCTTAAGGCGCCGAGCCGCGCCACAGGTCACAGTGAACACCTTTCCCGGCCACAGATACACTAAATTATATCACAGTGGAGGACAGCTCCTACCACAGTGAGAGAAGACCCCTCACCCCAGCCCTACCTAAGACAGTGAGAGAAGACCCCTCACCGCAGCCCTACCAAAGACAGTGAGAGAAGACCCCTCACCCCAGCCCTACCTAAGACTGAGAGAAGACCCCTCACCACAGCCCTACCAAAGACAGTGAGAAGACCCCTCACCGCAGCCCTACCAAAGACAGTGAGAGAAGACCCCTCACCCCAGCCCTACCAAAGACAGTGAGAGAAGACCCCTCACCACAGCCCTACCAAAGACAGTGAGAGAAGACCCCTCACCCCAGCCCTACCTAAGACAGTGAGAGAAGACCCCTCACCACAGCCCTACCAAAGACAGTGAGAGAAGACCCCTCACCCCAGCCCTACCTAAGACAGTGAGAGAAGACCCCTCACCCCAGCCCTACCAAAGACAGTGAGAGAAGACCCCTCACCCCAGCCCTACCTAAGACAGTGAGAGAAGACCCCTCACCACAGCCCTACCAAAGACAGTGAGAAGACCCCTCACCGCAGCCCTACCAAAGACAGTGAGAGAAGACCCCTCACCCCAGCCCTACCAAAGACAGTGAGAGAAGACCCCTCACCACAGCCCTACCAAAGACAGTGAGAGAAGACCCCTCACCCCAGCCCTACCAAAGACAGTGAGAGAAGACCCCTCACCCCAGCCCTACCTAAGACAGTGAGAGAAGACCCCTCACCGCAGCCCTACCAAAGACAGTGAGAGAAGACCCCTCACCCCAGCCCTACCAAAGACAGTGAGAGAAGACCCCTCACCACAGCCCTACCAAAGACAGTGAGAGAAGACCCCTCACCCCAGCCCTACCTAAGACAGTGAGAGAAGACCCCTCACCCCAGCCCTACCAAAGACAGTGAGAGAAGACCCCTCACCCCAGCCCTACCAAAGACAGTGAGAGAAGACCCCTCACCCAGCCCTACCAAAGACAGTGAGAGAAGACCCCTCACCCCAGCCCTACCAAAGACAGTGAGAGAAGACCCCTCACCCCAGCCCTACCTAACAACAGTGTCCCACTAACGTTACCACGACATTACTCATCCTTAACGAATCTGTGGTTCACACAGCAGCTTCATCTTTCCCGGCCGGAGCAGCAGGAGGCTGGTTCACAGGCCTAACATACAATCCCATTACATCAATATTCAACCCCACACATTGTCATGTCCCAGCCCTTCTCTTGTGGCCCGCCCCTCTCTGCCCTCAGGGGGAAAAAGAACTGAGGAATCATGTTGATTTGTTGACAAATCTGTGAGGCGCCTTGTTGCTGTGAAAATAGTCACCCTGAAGGAGATCAATATTGTGACGGTAAAACAGCGGGGTATGTGGGGTATGTGGAGGGTGTGTGGGGCAGCCCATTCACCACACAAAGCCCTACACACACCACAAAGCCCTCACCAAACCCTTGACACCATACTTCAACTCGGGTCACAACCCACGCTGCAGTAAACACAGTTCGTCGCCCATTCCTCTCCTCTCTACACACACGTGTATCCAAAATAGGCAGGTGTGTATGGGTCATCCACGCTGCAGGTATGCGCACGGCAGGATCACACACCCGGCCCAGTTTACCATCAAATTATGAGGGAGGCTTGAAGCGTAGTAGTAATAACTTGTGATGTATATGAGGAGGAGAGGAGGAGTGTGAAGGTGCAGGTTACTACGTGCAGGAGGGTTGACGTACCTGTATGGCGAGGATGGAGCGGGCGTGCTCGTGCACCAGGTAGGTGAAGGGGCCCGGCACGGACACGTGGAAGTCCATCACACCACCGCTGCCGGCCCTGGAACACACACACACACATTACCATCACATTAACAATGCCTCATACATGTAGCTTTATATAATAAGGTGAGAACTATACCTGTAGCCTCAGCCACTGTGGCCGGGGACACACACGGGGGAAGAATTAGTAGCAGCAAGTGGGTTGAATTCTGGCCGCCAGGGAGAGTTTGGCTGGTGATCTGAGGGGCTGTAGGAGAGGAATATATCCCAACACTACCTGGAGTATACCTGCAGCATACCTGCAGCATACCTGCAGCATACCTGCAGTATACCTGGAGTATACCAGTATACTTGGAGAGGGCCGAGTTGTTCTGCTCTCCACAAGCCGGATCTGAGACCAAGCTTAGTCTGTGACCACAAAATAACTTGGTCCATATATAAATATGGCCATATGGTCCATATATAAATATGGACCAAGTTATTTTGGTCCAAACGCAGATCCATATATACAAACTGCATATACGAGGTGCGGGTGTCGCTTGTAGTGTCGTCAGGTCCGTATACTCTCCACAACAACCTGGTGGGTCGGCGGCGTCTTGAACAACAACGCCCACTTAACAAAAATTAAAACAGCTTATCACTTAACAGCTCCAACACTGTAAGGTGTGGCACATGTTGTATTTACTGAGTGTAGATGTTGTCTAGGACCCACGCTACCAGTGTGTCCCCGGCACACTCTGTAGTGTAGATGTTGTCTAGGACCCACGCTACCAGTGTGTCCCCGGCACACTCTGTAGTGTAGATGTTGTCTAGGACCCACGCTACCAGTGTGTCCCCGGCACACACTGTAGTGTAGATGTTGTCTAGGACCCACGCTACCAGTGTGTCCCCGGCACACTCTGTAGTGTAGATGTTGTCTAGGACCCACGCTACCAGTGTGTCCCCGGCACACACTGTAGTGTAGATGTTGTCTAGGACCCACGCTACCAGTGTGTCCCCGGCACACACTGTAGTGTAGATGTTGTCTAGGACCCACGCTACCAGTGTGTCCCCGGCACACACTGTAGTGTAGATGTTGTCTAGGACCCACGCTACCAGTGTGTCCCCGGAACACTCTGTAGTGTAGATGTTGTCTAGGACCCACGCTGCCAGTGTGTCCCCGGCACACACTGTAGTGTAGATGTTGTCTAGGACCCACGCTACCAGTGTGTCCCCGGCACACACTGTAGTGTAGATGTTGTCTAGGACCCACGCTACCAGTGTGTCCCCGGCACCTGTAGTGTAGTGTTGTCTAGGACCCACGCTACCAGTGTGTCCCCGGCACACACTGTAGTGTAGATGTTGTCTAGGACCCACGCTGCCAGTGTGTCCCCGGCACACTCTGTAGTGTAGATGTTGTCTAGGACCCACGCTACCAGTGTGTCCCCGGCACACACTGTAGTGTAGATGTTGTCTAGGACCCACGCTACCAGTGTGTCCCCGGCACACTCTGTAGTGTAGATGTTGTCTAGGACCCACGCTACCAGTGTGTCCCCGGCACACACTGTAGTGTAGATGTTGTCTAGGACCCACGCTACCAGTGTGTCCCCGGCACACACTGTAGTGTAGATGTTGTCTAGGACCCACGCTACCAGTGTGTCCCCGGCACACTCTGTAGTGTAGATGTTGTCTAGGACCCACGCTACCAGTGTGTCCCCGGCACACACTGTAGTGTAGATGTTGTCTAGGACCCACGCTACCAGTGTGTCCCCGGCACACACTGTAAGGAGGGCGGGGAACACACTAATATCCTCAACTTGAGCACAGTCGACTTGAGGATGGTCCAACCCTGGAAACACAAACCGAAACTGTCTCTATTTTCCGCTTGTTACAACTTGTAATAAAGTTGTTACATCTTGGCTTAACGTGTTTATGACGTATTAGAACGTTGTTACAACTTGTTATATTGGTTGTTATAACTGGTTAGGTGGTGTTAAAACTTGTTCGAACGTTGTACCAACGTCGTAGTTTCGGTGTGTGTTTGGCGGGTTAAGACGGACCGAAACGAGTAACAAGTAGTGTATTGTGAGGACTAATAATAAACAGAAGCTCCTCTATGACTCTGTAATATCCCCATTGGCCAAACTATTATGTATTAGCGATAAGACCTACCATTAATGTATGATGACTTACTGTAAATATGTAGCTCTTGTAATAGCACTTTCTCTGTAACTAGCTGACATTGTAACTATAAGGTGTGAAGGATAGATGAAATTGTTTATGTAATAATCTAAGATGAGGTCTGATAAAGACCTTTTGTGCCCTCTGTAATGCTTTTTGCGCTACCGCTCACAGGATGAGTATGGGGTGCACAATAACCTAGCCGCCTTTGGCGCCATCAATCAATCGTCGTCGTCCCTTCACCTTCTAGTGTGTGGTCAACTAATATCCGCTATTGTCAATAGTCTCAGTAGAAGCAGTCGGCCCAGCTGTGTGCGAAAGAACACTTGGAATCATCAACAGGTAACCCACTTGGGCTGGACGGTAGAGCGACGCTTCATGCAGGCCGGCGTTCAATCCCCGACCGTCCAAGTGGTTGGGCACCATTCATTTCCCCCGTCCCATCCCGAATCTTTATCTTGATCCATTCCCAGTGCTATTTAGCGGTAATGGCTCAGCGCTTTCCCCTGATAATTGCCTTCCCTCCCCCCCACAGGTGACCGAGGTTAATCAACTGACAGGATCCTCCGCCACCTGGGCTGGCCCTCACTTGTCAGAGTTTGGTCCACCAGGCTGTTGCTTAGAGCGGCCCGCAGGCCCACATATCCACCATAGCCCGGTTGGTCAGGCACTTCTTGCAGAAAACTATCAAGTTTTTCTGGAAGTTCACTTATATATATATATATATATATGTCGTACCTAATAGCCAGAACGCACTTCTCAGCCTACTATTCAAGGCCCGATTTGCCTAATAAGCCAAGTTTTCATGAATTAATGTTTTTTCGTCTACCTAACCTACCTAACCTAACCTAGCTTTTTTTGGCTACCTAACCTAACCTTACCTATAAATATAGGTTAGGTTAGGTTAGGTAGGGTTGGTTAGGTTCGGTCATATATCTACGTTAATTTAACCCCAATAAAAAAAATTGACCTCATACATAGAGAAAAGGGTTGCTTTATCATTTCATAAGAAAAAAATTATAGTAAATATATTAATTCTGGAAAACTTGGCTTATTAGGCAAATCGGGCCTTGAATAGTAGGCTGAGAAGTGAGTTCTGGCTACTAGGTACGACATATATATATATATATATATATATATATATATATATATATATATATATATATATATATAAAATATATATATATGGTGACCAAGAGGGTTCAGGGAAGGAGGTGTCTGGGAACCACCATAACCCTGGTTCAAATCACCTCATTACCCCAAAATGATTGTTCTCATTGATACATCACGCCATTGTGATTTCTTTGTGATGTGCTTGCGCGCGCGCGCGTGTGTGTGTGTGTGTGTGTGTGTGTGTGTGTGTGTGTGTGTGTGTGTGTGTGTGTGTGTGTGTGTGTGTGTGTGTGTGTGTGTGTGTGTGTGTGTGTGTGTGTGTGTGTGTGTGTGCATGCGTGCTCGTGCGCACCATTCCCCCCTCATCTTGCCCTCTCCCTCCCTGTGTGTGTGACCTTCACCTCATTCCCGCCATCCTCCAAGACCACCGTCACTGGCGGGGCGGCCTTATCACACCTCCGCACCACAGAGAAAGTGTTCCTGCCTCCAGCCTCACTTTCAATATGCCTCCAGGTCCCAACCCCGCGCCCTAACCTCATTTACCGCCACAGTCACCCCAACCCCACCCACCCAGACCTGACCTCCCCCACCCCACTCCCACCACAACCTGTCCTTCCCAATAATACAGCTCATTTGGATGTCTAAATCCCAACAGATAAAATATGTTGTACTATGTATCATTACGGCTCACAATCCTGGGGATTGTCGATTAGGCTCGGGCCACACACACACACACCTACACACACACACACACACACCTACACACACCTACACACACCTACACACACACACACACACACACACACACACACACACACACACACACACACACACACACACACACACACACACACACACACACTGATCGTCCCGCCAATCCCCTGCTCCCGCCCGGCACATCAGCTGATTGCCCAAACGTAAACAATGAAATCCATGACGTCACATGTACAGTTGCCGGACATCAATTTATGGCGCAATCCGCTCGTCCATTGTCTCCAGGTCCCTTGTTCTTCTGGGCCGCCCTAACGCTCATTTTGAAATTTTAAATATTTCCTCGAACGGCGAGTTGACTAGGCAGCGCCACTCAGCCACTGAGTGAACCTAACACTGCCCAGCTGTGTGTGGGTACAAGTGACAGGATGAACAACCCAGCGGGTTTTCTTCCTATAGGGGAGTGTTGTACATGCTGCTATGGCGGTGTGTCCACTCACAGGATGAGTGGCGCTGCCCAATACTGTCACTATGGCGGTGTGTCCACTCACAGGATGAGTGGCGCTGCCCAATACTGTCACTATGGTGGTGTGTCCACTCACAGGATGAGTGGCGCTGCCCAATACTGTCACTATGGTGGTGTGTCCACTCACAGGATGAGTGACGCTGCCCTATACTGTCACTATGGCGGTGTGTCCACTCACAGGATGAGTGGCGCTGCCCAATACTGTCACTATGGTGGTGTGTCCACTCACAGGATGAGTGGCGCTGCCCAATACTGTCACTATGGCGGTGTGTCCACTCACAGGATGAGTGACGCTGCCCAATACTGTCACTATGGCGGTGTGTCCACTCACAGGATGAGTGGCGCTGCCCAATACTGTCACTATGGCGGTGTGTCCACTCACAGGATGAGTGACGCTGCCCAATACTGTCACTATGGCGGTATGTCCACTCACAGGATGAGTGGCGCTGCCCAATACTGTCACTATGGCGGTGTGTCCACTCACAGGATGAGTGGCGCTGCCCAATACTGTCACTATGGCGGTGTGTCCACTCACAGGATGAGTGGCG